ATCTTTTATTGTTTGTTTCATATTGAAGGGGGTCTGATAAGTAAGATTAATATTTATGGGTTGAATAATAGAGATCTATCTGTCATTTAGTCCGAGGGATCGGTTCTCACATTATGTTTTAATATTTTAAAGTGTTACTACAGTGCCGTGAGTCACGTCTGTGCCTCAGATATAGGGAGAGGGAATTTGTGGGTGACAATTTTAGCTTGGATTCATACTGATATCTGAAGTCACAAAGCTGTTTCTCCTCTTCAGGTAGCGGAAGGAAAATTTCAACTGTAATGTATGCCAACAACATCGTTCTCATTTTCTGAACCAAGACTGGTTTAGAAGATTATTGGCCAGATTATCTGATTATTGTGAAAAGGAAAAGCTGAGGATAATTTATGATAAAACAAAGATCTTTAGTAGAAGCAATATGAAACATAGATGGACAGCCAATGCCCACCAAATCTAGCAATGCTCCTCTGTAAAATACCTAGGTTTCACCCATCATAAGTCCCTTGTATGGAACACACTTTTAACCACCATTCTAGCAACTGCCCAGTGCACAGTGGCGGTTAGTCTGGAGTTTTTCTATTCCAAAAGAGGACACCTGATAGCCCCAACATTTAAAATATTAAAATATTCCAGGGTAAGGTGATAGGCCAGATGCTGTACGGGGCTGAGATCTGGGGGTGGGATGAGAAGGTTATTGATCAATTGGAAGTAGTCCAAAACCACTTCATCAGGAAGATCATGGAGTTAGACATCATTCACCATGAGATCAGGACCAAATTATTGATGCTAGGTGAATTCAGGGGCACAAACCTTCAATGGTTGAATGATCTTCTTTCAGATATGTTTCCAACTGTTGGTAGTCAGGTTGCTACTTTAGCTTTGTCATCGTTTAAACTCTGAAAGACATTTTTAAGTGCTTAATCTCTGACCCCATCTTACTTTGACTTCTTTGTATCTAACACTCTTTTTTATTCTGTTTTATTCTATTGTGATTTTGTTGTGTTGTATTTATACTCTGTCACATTGCTATGACCTATGATTTCAACAATAAACTTATTTATTTACCAAATATGTCCATATTGGGTAAAACTGGTTCCAAAATTAGCAGACTGGCATGGTGGTGGGTCCTATAAGGTATTCGTCTAATGTTCCTTTAAATGTTTTTTAAGTCTGTCTTCTGTTCTTTTCTTTGTGATAATGTTTTTCAGAAAGAGATTATTTCTTGCACTTATCGCTTATTAAATAGCCCTAAGAAAAGCTGGTTAAATCCTAAAGAAATAAAAGTCTGGGTCCATGTTTATTGTGGACCCCTCCGTTTGCTGCAGGCAGAGGTCGAAAGAGGCAGGGTGGATTTTCATGGCCTTTTTGATCAATCAGAAATGGCCAGGGTTCGTATAGCTTTTCTTTCAGAGGAGGACCTGGGAAGGTGACTTCCTTCTCTGGATGTCTCCCCTGTTTATTTCAGAGATCCCAATATCACTGGGAAATTCCCAGCCTTCTCTGCATTGATCCTAGCACCTGATTCATTGGTCTTCATTACATACCAACCCAACTGAACCTGCTTCGTAGAGTGGCACTTTCTTCAAAGCCACTCCATACTGTTACTTTGTTTTCTTTATCACAACTTGTCGTCGCCATTGTGTTGGCAACATAGTAAGTCAGTCAGCGTGGCACCCTTATTCTTAAAAGATGAGACTAAAGTATTGGGGTTGGGGTTGACTGGGTTCGCACCAAGGTGGTAGCAAATACCTGAAGCTTACTGCATAGAAATGAGTGATCAGCAAGTAGAATGGCCTAGATTTTACCTTATGCCTTTCAAAGCTATTGTAATTGGAGCCAGTCAATTTTTAACTTGGTATTCGCTTTATTCATTCATTCACTTTTTCTTCCTATGTAAGTACTATAGGAACAAATACCAACCTCTATAAGGTTAAGAATTAAATAGCTCACACACACACACGCACACACACGTACACACTTCAAGTTAGGAGTTAGGAGTTTGCCTATTAATTTTAAACCACACTTGGAACAGGTCACAATTGTTGGGTTTTTTCCCAAATAACTAAAGGTAATTTGAGAATGAGCATTACTCATGAAACACCCAGTCACCCTACCTTTGTTCCCAGTTTTATTCTGTTTATTAGTTCAGATCTGCTCTGAGCACATTTAAAAATAAATTACAGAAAAAATAAATTATATCCATCCATCCATCTCCACGAGAAACCATATTCATCTCCAGTAACAGTGGAAAACTGATTTTAAGCACACACAAAAGAATAAAGAAAGACAATCTCAATGAGTTTCAGGTTCATTTGTTCTTCTGTCTTTTTCCACTTTATGGAATATATTCTATAATAAGATGCGGGCAATTTCAATTTCTTAATAAGTATTTTTTATTATATTTTAATGCTTAATCTTTCGCTGATCTCCAGTGGATGGCAAGTTGATTTTTGGTACAGCAGAATTTCCCTGCATTATGTTTGAAGTAGTACTAGAGAATTATGCATTCCCTGCTCATCTCCCAAGACGGTGGTGCTCCCAAAATTTGGAAAAATTTCTTATTTCCAGGAGCTGGCTTTCCATCACCACCCCCCACCCCATCTCCAGCAATCTGGTAAAATATCTGTTAGAGAAAGCCGTTGGAGGAAATCTAATTGAATTGGATGGGACTGTCCTTGCACTGTGTATTATATATGCAGTGGTGTAAAATATATGATTAAAAATTAGAATGTAACATATCAACATTTAACTTCATGGTGATTGGATAAAGGAAAATTAAAGGCTATCTCAAGGACAGAATAGCATTGATTTAACAGAGAATAATGATCAGATCTAGCTGTCACTGAGGCACTGTTTTAAGAGTGCGAAAACTAGAAATAATAAGGGAGTTCAAAGAACATAATTTTCAGATGGCCTTTCTTCTGTTTTCAGTCTACTCCAGTTATGAAAACTGGCTGTTTCAGCTATTACGAACCAGATATTCTTGCTTTGTGTATTGCTACAGCTCTGTCTCTAACCTACTTGCTAATGTCATATGATCTAAATAGGGCAACTTACTTAGGACATGCTGGAATTAGTATGAGGGGTGTACGAAACTGAGCTAGAAAGAAAAGAAGTAGAGGGTGAAATTAGGGTTGTGTTGTTTTGGTTTTTAATATAAATGGAAATAAAGAAGCTTAAGTATTTGACTTGGGTTCTGGATTTTTACACTGTGATGGCAAGAATTGGATGGCTTTCCTTGATTTCATTCCACCATTATCTTTGTTCCACACCTCTGACTCTATTTCCTTTGTGGGTTACAGTATTGGGTACATATGTTTTGACCATTCAAGATGAGAATCTTGTGAAGGCAAGGTAACATGTGTTACTTATTTATTGCTAAGCAGCAGAAGGTTAGAATGTTTGCAATTTGTGTATGAGAAATACAAAATCATTTGGGCTACTTTAAGAAATCCCTTTGCCCTAATGTTCATATTTTCCTTGAACATAATGCATTTATCTTGATGGGGACAGAAGCAAGGAGAAACCCAGCATGTTAATGTTTTAAGGGAAATAATTACTTGCAATTTGGGGAATATGGGAGAAGTAATGATTCAAGTAATAGCAGAGAAAAGAGGGATCTCTCATACCAAGAAATAATGAAAGCCATGACAGTTAGCAGCCAGATAGAAACTACAAATATAAATTAAAAGGTGAAGACAAGATGGACTCAATTAGACCCCACGGTGACATTTTGCTTTAAGCATGTCTCCATGATTTGGCATCAGTCCCCAATGTGTTTCAAAAAATGACATCTCTGGCCCTTTAGAAATCAACCCGGGATTAATTGTTATATAGCTGACATTCCTGTTGTTTGTCCAACAGGACTCCCTCCGATTATAGGAAACACCTGCAAGTTGTCTTATATTTCAAGATTCTGGATGGAAAATTCACATTCTGATTGGCAGAGATGAAAGTGATGGGATGGTGATTGTTAGCCAGTTATAACAGCACATGAATTGTGTATAAAAGAGCCCTACTCCAGCCCTGGCATCTCACTCAATTTGCAACTTCAGGAAGATTCAAACTGGTGAAAGCAGACCACACACAAAAGAATAAAGAAAGACAATCTCAATGAGTTTCAG